AGTTCATGGATATTTTATCCAATTGTGACTCTGATCCTGCAGGTCTTACTCTTCCAAGAAGCCCCATTGAGCTGAGTGGGACTATGCACATGAGTAAGGCATAGCTGCAGAGCAGATTCTTTATATTTTTTCTATAAATCTATGGCCACAATCTTGTGCTGCCACAGAAGCAGCCATAAAGCCAAATTGTGATTTGAAACATCACCATTTCTTTCCTGGTTCCCTCCTGTTTTGCTTATATTTTGCTTATAGTGCAGTGTACTTCAGCAATGTACTTTCCTATACATTATTGGATTAGGGGGACAGTTCCCGTTTTATTTCCATCTCAGTAAAATGGAGCTGAGGATGTAATATTCCTGCAGAGGCTGTTCTTGCCTCCATGCAAGAGCAGCTGTCACAGCTGTAAGAGGAGCCTTACACCCACATACTTCCTGCTATGGATGTGCAGCATAGGCCAGAATCTGGCCCTAGAATAAGGCCGGCAGTCTTCGGTCTACATCCTAACCACAGCTGCTAGCATTATGCAAAAAAAGATTTATTATTCAAGGCTATTTTGCCTTGGATTGGTTAGTTTTGTTTTTTTAAAGAAAGGTTGTCTTAACATATGAACTGACTGAAAGATAGTGAGAGAAAAAAACATATCTTCTACCTGTCAGTGTCAATGAAGAGTTAATATTGTGCTCTTATGTTCAGTACTACAACAGGCTGGAAGAAATCCATCTCAGAAGACAGTTAATAAGTACTGGACTCCCCAGACAACTACACTGAATTTTGATGATTTTTGTGTTATCTTAAAAAAAGAAAAACCAGCTACAAAAACAGATTTGCTCCAAGCATTCATAAAATTAGATAAAAATAATGAGGGAACTATTTTGCACCCTGAACTTCATAAAATTCTTACAACAGTAAGTATCATTGAAGACAATTTCAGATTTTGTTTACTTTTTCATAGGGGTCCTATTTGCAGAAAATTGGTGTAGTGAAACTAAACTTTTGAAAATCACAGGAACAATCTTGAATATTAAAAAAAATTGTTTTGGAGGAACAAAAAAAGTCAGTGTCTGAATATTTTTTTTAATGATTTCACTTTTACATTTAAATCCTGGCTTCCAGGGCCTTTCCCTTCTCATGTTTTCTTTACAGTCATACATTTAGGTGGTCCAAGAGCTTCTCTAACTCCCATCCTGGGTGATGGGCATCAGTTGAAAAATATGATTTTTTTTTTAAACACCTTATGCTCCTTCTCCCCTGTTCTGAGCTAAGGCAGTAGGACTCAGCCTTCACTGACTTCACTGCTTAGTTCTTTGTCCTTACAAATCCCCTCCTTTAGGGCCCATATGAGGTAGTTTCATTAACTCTGTGGATAAACCTGTTTATTTGCTACCCTCCCTTTTTGTCTTTTCTCTCATTTATTCCTGTCAAAATAATTATTTTCCCCTCTCCCCCCCTTGTTGTCAGGAAACTGGGTAGGGGTGGAGGAATCTGCCCATTGCTGGTGCAGTCTCTGGCTGAGCCAGGCTCCCTTCACAGCCACTTGCCACAGCTCCCAGCTGGAGTGGTCTGACTCTCAGCTGAGGCAGGTAGGGTAGGGGGAGCCCCAGTGTCACACCTGAATTGCTTCTGCCCCTGCTGCAGGAAACTGCTGTGGTAGCCCACAGATTCCTCCTTCCAGCCTGCTCCCAGCCATTGGGGTGGGAGGGGAACCTGTGTGCTGCACTCACTGTCCCTCTCTGAGCCGGGATCCCTGCACAGCTGCTCCCTGCATTGTGGGGCTGGACAAGTTCAGGAGTGACTTTGGGGCTTCTCCTGAGCCTGGATCAGCAGCGGAAAGCAGTAGAAGGGACAGGTGGCGGGGAGGTAGGTGGAGGGGGGCAGGCACTGGGGAGCAAGGGGTGGGGTCAGGCTGCCAGCTACCTGCTCCCCATGCCACCCGCTCTCCACCTCTGCTTTCCCCATTGCTTGCTGACCTCCCACTGCTTTCTCCTACCTGTCCCCCCCACCCTTGTTTTTCTCCTCCTTCTTACTCCTTTGCCTCTGCTTTCCCCATGGTTACTCTCAGCCTCTACTTTACCCCATTTCTGCTCTACCCTGTCCCCTGCTTTA